TCACCCTCAATTCTTGTGTTCATCCTTCGAGATAGATACAGGATTTGAGATAAAGTGCTCTTTCATTTAAACTATGAAAATTATGGGGTCAGTTTGACTTCATCTTTTTCAAAACTAAATTTTTTTAACGTCCTTCCGAAGCGGGCAACGGATTTTCACTTCCGATGACCGACAGCTTCTTACGGGCAAACCCCACACCAAAAATAGTGCCGACAACGACTCTCCTTGAAGTTTAGAAGTCACGGTTGGTGTTCTTCTTCGGGCTTCCTCAATATAGAAGGAAGGAAAGTGCAAGAATTAGTTCCTTGCGGCAGAAAGAAGAAAAAAGAAGAAGAAGAAGATTGTTCTCGCTTGGCTTCTTCTTAGTGGTTTGTGGCTGAAGAAAAATTAGGTTTTTTTCTCTTGTAAGTTTATTTTCTTCGATGTATCTCGGTGTAGAGAGAGAAGAAGAGAGAGCAACGAAGATTCTTTTTGTAAGTCGAGGCGATCGACTGGTGTAAATTTCTCAAGTAGTAAAATCCTCTTCAACTCCGTGGACGGAGGCAATTTGCCGAACCACGTAAACTTGTGTGTTCTTTTCTGATGTTATTTTTATCGTTCTACTTTTCGCTTCGTCGATCATTCTCCTGTTAGATATATATATAGTATGAATTTTCTCATTCTATTTTTCGCTTCGCGCCGATCATTCTATTTTATTTTTATATACCACAACAACTGGTATTAGAACCCGTGGTTTCATATCTGAGAAAAGAATGATGACTGTAGGTGAGGTGAAAGTTTTGAGAATTGAAAATTTTGATAACACAAATTTTGGTTATTGGAGGATGCAGATAGATGACTATCTCTATGGGAAGAAACTTCATCTTTCGTTATTGAGGAAAATATCTGAAAGAATAGATGAGACTGAATGGAATTTGTTGGATCAACAAGTTTTGGGGGTTATTCGATTGACCCTATCGAGGTCCGTTGCACTCAACGTCGTCAAGGAAAGGACGAATGCAGATCTCATGACAGCCTTATCAGGCATGTACGAAAAGTCATCGATGAATAACATGGTGTACTTGATGAAGAAGTTATTGAACTTGAAGATGGTGGAAGATGTTTACGTTGCTCAACACCTGAATGATTTTAATACTATCACAAATCAATTGTCATATGTTGAAATTGATTTTGATGATGACATACGTCCGTTAATATTGTTGGCATCGTTGCGAAATAGTTGGGAAACTATGAGGATGACAGTTAACAGTTCTACAGGTAAATCTAAACTGAATTGTGATGATATTCGTGATTTGATTTTGGTTGAGGTTCGCAAAAAAGATTCTGGTGAGATCTCAGGTACAAGTTCGACACTGAATGTTGATTTCAGAGGAAGATGACAGGACATGAACTCAAATAGAGGGAGATCAAAATCAAAGTCTGGTCAACAGACAACCTGCTGGAATTGTGGCATGGTTGAGTCATATAAAGAGGAACTGTAGGAATCACAAGAATATAGAGAATAATAACGCAAATATGGTATCTGAAGAAGTACATGATGCACTATTGCTGGTAGTTCATAGTTCTGTTGATGATGGAAGTAAAGAGGATAATGGTTCTGAGGCATCCATTTTTATTATTCCACAGACAGATGGTGGAGAACCACAGAGTTATGAAGAAATAATGCAAGATGAAAGTTCTAGCAAGTAAGAGCTAGCAGAACTTCCACCAGAGAAGAAGATATTACACAACAAGTAGGTGTACCAGGTGGATACTGAGCATGATGACAGTAAAATGTATAAGGCTAGACTTGTTGAAAAATGATTTCAGCAGAGGTAGGATACTACTCATGCAGTGGGAGTTGTAAGCAGAGACAAGAGTATTCCAAGAAATAGCTTGGAGGTGCAAGACTATTTGGACCCTACTGATATGTTGACTGAGAGTGTTACTCTTGAGAAACTGACTTTGTGTACAACTTCAGTTGGTCTTATGGAGTGAAGGTAGTGCTTTGAGTTGCAGAGGTGGAGGATTCAAGGTGGAGGATTCATGTTTGAAGAAAAGGGTGACACCGCCAGTGGAGGATGTCAGTTTGAGGAAGGAGATGTTGTAGCATGTGTATCGGTCTCCAAGTGGGAGATTGTTAGCGCTGGAGATCGCGCTCCTCCCGCCTCATATGTTTCGCGAAACGATGCCAAATCTCGCTCCCGCTCTTCTGATCATGAAAAGTTGCGACCGCGGCCTGCAGATTCGCTGTAACCGCTGTTCTCGCCTCCATTTCGCAAAACACCGCCTCCTTTCATCCCGAAGCTTCTTGTTCGTGATAAAAAGATATCAGACTGCTCTCCTTGAAGTTTAGAAGTCACGGTTGGTCTTCTTCTTCGGGCTTCCTCAAAATAAAAGGAAGGAAAGTGCAAGAATTAGTTCCTTGTGGCAAAAAGAAGAAGAAAGAAAAAGAAGAAGTTTATTTTCCCTTGACTTCTTCTTGGTGGCTTGTGGCTGAAGAGAAATTAGGTTTATTTCTCTTGTAAGTTTATTTTATTCGGTGTATCTCGGTGTAGAGTTTCTTCAATGTATCTCGGTGTAGAAAGAGAAGAAAAAAGAAGAAAACAACGAAGTGAGAGATTCCTCTTGTAAGTCTAGGTGATCGACTGGTGTAAATTCCTCAAGTAGTAAAATCCTCTGCAACTTCGTGGACGTAGACAGTTTGTCGAACCACATAAATCTGTGTTCTTTTCTGGTGTGCATTTTTCTCGTTCTATTTTTCGCTTCGTTGATCGTTCTCCTATTTGACTTATTTATATATCATATCATCAACACTAGAGAACTAACATTGGAGCCCAAACATACACCACATACACATTCATATCCACCCTATAATTAAAATTAAAATCAATTTTCAAAAGTTCAATCGCAAATCGAAATCCAAAGAAAATCAATTTTGATTTATTTTTTACGTGAATTTGAGACATGTTGGTGCGTGCTGAGGGGCGCATTGCTGGGACCGTTCTGCTTGACTTTGGTCGTCACTTAGGCAAAGGTGTGTCAACATTTTGATGGTTGAACGATTCTGTGGGGCCAACATCTATCATTCGTAACGTCGCGCCCGAATCATACTTAAACCGATTTGACGTCGACAAATTTTTCTAGGTGACCCCGAATCACAAAACGGACAACGCAAGCATATTTGGAATGTTGATTTTATCCTGGAGGGACACTCATTTTATTATGGTTCCATGCACAAACAAATCACACGCAAATTAACGCATTTAAAAGAAATAATAATAATAAAAATATAAAAAACCCCTATGAAAGCTCACATCCTAAAGGAAAAATTTTCTGCTGGACTTTGGACGTAGCTCTACGTGCGGACTCCAATAATATACTGCTATGTGTGATACATCGCAGATATTATTTTGGGGTTATTAAAGTGAAACTGCGGCTGTTATTTCAGGGTTATTGAAGAGAAACACAAATATTTCACTTCAATAACCCAGAAGTAACCCCGAAATTCTCCGCGGTTCCACTTTAGTAATCTCGAAATAACACCGAAGAGGTTATTTCGGGATTATTTTTCGGTATTTCGGGATTATTGAAGTGAAATATATGAGCTTCTCTTTAATAACTCTGAAATTATCCTGAATAACATTTACGGTGTTATTTTGGGTCGTTGAAGTAGAACTCAGATATTATTTGAAAGTTCATAGTTTCACTTTGATATTCTTTTAAATAGACCTTATATAACACATATGACAATATATTCAAATAGAGTGTGCAGTAGAAAATGTTCCCCATTTGCACTCCCCAAGTAAAACCCAGCCGCTTCCCTCTTCGGCCCGAACCCTTCGCTCGTGTGCCCAAGCTCCGCTGTTTTCGTGACCTAGCCGACCCATTCGGCGAATGCTCTCCTGGTTCTCTCTCCACCAGCCAACCGAGCGCTTCCCTCCTCCCTTTATCCGTGAGCACCTTCCCCTCAAAAACCCAAACCGTAAGCAACCTTCCCTCCGAAGCCGCGGACCAGTTTCCTGCTCTGCCGATCGCCGCCCGGATTTGTCGATTGCCGCCCAGATCTGCCAATCGTCGGCTAGACCTACCAATCTCCACCTAAATCCGGCAGGTATCCTTCGATCTTTGTCAAACCGAGCCCTCTCCTAGTCGAATGCAATGGAGTACATGGTTGAGGTTTACTGCTGATGTTAAAAAAAAAAAGTGTGGTGATAGAGATCTATTCGCTATTAGCTTCTTCTTTCTTTTTTCTTTTTAATCTTAAAGGGTTGGTTTTGGGCTTGGATTATCTATTCACTATTAGCTTATATATATGAAGGTGTGCGGTATTTGATGCCGCCTGATAGATCCCAGTATCTCATGTTATGTTCTTTTTTAACATCCATATTCTTCCAGCGCTTAAAACTGAATTCTTTGAGGAATAAACTAGGATGAGTCCAAATTGTTCCAACTGACACTATATATGCAATCTTTCTACGATTGATAAATTGAGTTTTTTTTGTTTTTTTTCCTCTGATGCAATTTTCTGCTTGAGGCGCAATGCACTTATCATTGACTAATATGTTGAGAACTTGAAGACTTTTATTTGGATTTAGATGAAGGTGAAAAAATGTCGCAATTTGAAATGTATAGACTGTTTATGCTGCTAAAACATGGCATTGGTTTTACAAGGCCTTGTTTGATTAGTTGCTAAACCGGAAGCAACTAATAATTTAGAAAATGGAGTTTGGCATTCAAAATTTTGTCTACTTAATGGAGTTTATAATCTGACAAGACATGTTTCTCGTGGAAGCCATCACCTTGCACTGCCTTTGATTTGGGGAAGAAGCCTTTTATCTCAAGTTGGACGTAAGTTTAGTGACGAGGAGAATTATGTGCTGGTTTCATTTCCCTTAAAAAAATTCATGGGTGGAAAGTTTTTTTCTTACCTCTCCTTGTTCCATTTGATTGTGGGACATTATCACCTTTCTGGTAACAATTAGAGCCTGAAGAACTTAAATCATTGCAAAGTCTCTAATCTTTTTTGTCCTTTTTTTCCATCAAGTATCTTAAATAGTTTTCTGATTCTTGTTGTTGGATTGATTTTTTTTTTTTTTTTTTTTTTTTTGGGACGCTATGATAAGTAATATGACCCTCGTGGTTGTCCTGGATGGCCTCTATTCCATTATGATTTTCTACATATCCAAGTTTGGTCTAAAGTATTCTTGGCAAACGAGATCCCCTGTTATGTGGGTCTGCCGCTTTCTTCTGATGGCAAATTATTCATCTCTTTATGTTTACTCTGGGCCTTGTTATTGTTAAGGGGAATTTACATGCTTAACTCCTAATTCTTATGCTCTTACACGTCAAACACCCAAAATTGAATTTACATACATGCTACTCATTGCCCTTGATTGCTATATGCTTTAGAAGACTGTTGGACCCAATCATTTTCGCAACTCCGGTCATTCAACTGTCATCCCCTTTACCTCCTTGTAAAACACTGGGATCATCCAAAATTAAAACTCAAATTTTGAGGCTTCTTTTGCTCAGCAACCTGGCTATTTTCTGATTAACCCTCATAGAATTGTTTAAAGTTCATGGATCAACTTTATTCGTCAAAATAAGATTATGAAATGTTATTTTACTTATGTTGAAGCAAGAAAAATTGTCGAGTTTCTCCTACATGCACCATTTCCTATCTCAGATCCCTTTTAGAATTACGTATTTGGAAAATTTAGCTATATCAATGATGGTTATAAATTTCCATATTTGACATTTGTCTTCTATTAAGCTTATAAACATACCATTCAATTCTCTCATTTATTTAGATATCTAACATTTTTTTTTCTTATGAAATAAATCTATTCTTATGTAGATAACATGGTAAGCGTGTAAAAGCTAAAGAGTGTGTAGTTATATAAATACATTAAAATTGAATCAAATGTATGTAGGAATTTCTTTTTATTATACATCTCTATATGAAATTCGGGAAATATTCTTGTTTATAAAGATTCTACCGATTTTAATAATAATCAAATTTGGTCTTTTGATTTTGATCTATTTGTTGGAAACCAAAGATTTAGATTAAAAACTGAGAAAATGATTAAAATGTTGTCTCAAATTTTTAATATAACATTATATTGGAAATGTTTAAGAGTTAAATATCCTAAATTAAAATATTATATATTGAATTTGTAAAAAATATTATTTTATCATTATTAAATCATTTACATTAAAATAAAATAATTTTATTATTTATTATGTCATTCGATTAAACTTCTAATTTAAACTAAATTAAAATTTTGAAAGATGAAACTCATTTATTTGGTTCGATATTCGCTTTGGTTTAAACTATCTTTCCTTAACAATCTTTCCTGTTGTTTCCACAAAGTAGGCCGAACATAAAATAGTCAATGTAAAAAAGATACAAGAAATATTATTTTTTAGTTAATCAGTTAATTCGAGCCAATACGAGCTGATTATAATCGAACAAATGTTTGTTTGTGTTCAGCTCATTTATAAATTAAACTTAAAAAGATTGTTCGTGTTCGACTCGCTTTCTTAATGAAGGAATCGAAGAAGAGAATCTTAATGACCCGGACACAAATTATTTGCTAATGATAATTTTTTTCAACAACCCTACTTAAAATGACTCTTCATGGTTTTACAAATCAGTTTTAGAAAATCCCTACATGAATAAAATTGATCAATGATAAGGGAACTTAAAGACTTGACTAGTGATAAAGTTTTAAGATTAACACTTGCAAAAGATTGGTAGGTGCTAAACTTGAACCCTCTTTGTGCGAATATGTTTACATCGCTTTTAATAGGTAGATAAGACATCATTGACCAATTTTCTTATTTGCGAAAACAATCATATACCTTATATACAATGTTTGTTCTCATTATTATATTTGTTTTTGCCAACATCTGCCTGGTTTTGTAAGAATTTCTACACAATTCTTTTTGAAACAGTCCTACGCAATTCTCTTTTGAAACAGTCCCACTTTAGGAGAGTAATTTCACAATATTTTGTTTATTTTCCCTATACATAAGGATCTTTAAAAGCTTAACTTAACCTTTCAATTATGCGTATCACCGCTTCATCATAAGAATGGAGAGGGGATAACTCCCGCGGTACTAATAGTCTTTCAAATTAGGTTGTGTTTGAACTAAGTGTTGGGATCTCTAGTCAACTAGGTTTGGTTTATTCAAATCGATATTATTCTTTTATTGACTGAAGTTTCATTCTACAATAATTAATAACTAGTAAAAAATATTATCAATATAATAATATATTATTGTGAAATCTAACTAAATAAATTCTAGTTAATATAATTTTATATAAATAATATATTATATATGATACGAGTTATTATTGAACCTAATATTGAGTATTTACCATGTTACTTGTTGAATAACAAACAAGTTTGTTCATGAACATAGATGAACAAGTTCAACTATGTTAATGTTTAGTTCATTTAAACCCTTAAGTTTTTAAAAATTATTCAAGTTTGTTTATTTAGTAATTTGAATGAACATGATCGAGTCTTAATCGAACCAACTTCGAGTTGTTCATCGAGTTTATTGGTTCATTTACAGCTCTATGCACAAGGCTTCACATGCTTAAATGAATAAATTGCTATTTATAGTTTGACCTAATGGAGCTTTTGTTGTGCTTGTTGAAAGGTTTTCTGAGGCTGGTCTGATTATGTCATTTTCAGTTGTGTCTTTTATTCATTGTGTGATGATTATCTGATCTAAAAAACTGCTTGTAACGAAAAAATATTCTGAAAATTACTTTGTTGTTCCATAAAAATTCCTAAAAGATTTTTTAATTCCTCAAAGAACTATTCTTATTAGCTTTTCTTAACATGTTTGTTTTCTCTGTATAGTATTGTGAAAGCGTTGATTTGGCTGGTTGCCGAAGATGGATACCCCTCTCGCAACTGCTGTCCACAAGGAAAATGTACGCATTGATGGAGGTATGACATTATACTATAACGATTGCACTAATAGCTTAATCTTACTTAACATGATTCTGAGAGTTATAATTGGTTGAAATTTATAGGAAAAGCTACTGTGACAATGAAACCTGATAAGCTGAAAACTGCTAAGACTGCTGGCAAAGTGCGCAAGGCTTTGGAAGATCTGAGAAGTACTAATTTACTTGTGGTAGGGGCTTCAAAAGATGTTGATTTAAAGCAGAAGTCTACTAGGAAAGGCAACGAAGCAGAAAAGAATCAAATGACTAAGAGACACCTTGTTACTGGGCAAACGAAAGTTGCTAATCTGAATAATAAGTCAGTGTTGCAGGGAAACTATGTGGAGGGGAATAAACCCTTCGACCATATATTGACTGATGAAGAAATAAAAAAGTGTTATGAATGGGCTAAGGATGGAATAGAGGGAATGGGAGGTTATTCTTGGTCTGCGAAAGATGAGACAAATTTTGTTATGAAACAAACTTTGTCAGAGATAATGGCATCAGCCATTGGAGTACCAGTCTCAGAGTTGGAACAACCGTTTACGGTAATTAGCAAATATATTTTCATTGAAAAACATTCTGGTACACCTGCGTTGGCATTTTTCGTCGCAGTTCATTTAGAATGTTAGACAAGAAATTTTGGTTTTACCATTCCATGCCATTTTAAGTTTTACTAACAGTTGTTCCTGCCAAATATTGTGTACATGTCAATGTTCACAAATATTTTTTATTCTTCCATTCCTTCAAAAAACCGTCATGTTTCGTTATTTAAAATGTCAGTTTTGTGTAGTTTTTTCATTTTCTTTTTATTCTGTTATTTTTGGTAGAGTGAAGAAGAAGGCTATGAGACAGATGATTCGGAATTTAAAATATCAGTTCCAGGTTTTTCTCTTCAATTCCTTTCTTAATTGTTTCATATATATAGCTCCAATTTTCACAAGTTTTTAAGTAGATGATGCATGCTTAACTAGTAAATCGGTTGTACAAATTGTACAAATGTGCAGGGCGGTCTTTCATCAGTTTATACACCAGATGAACAAGATGATCCTATTGGTGTAGTTGGCTTATGGCTGGAAGAGCACTACCCATTGCCAGAATTAAAGCTAAATGATGAGTAAGAAGAATTTAGTATTTGGTAGTGACGACAGTATTAAATCTGAAAGCCTGATTTCTTAGTAGAATTTGCAATCAGTAGAAAATTTCTTAGGTTTGTTGAAGCTGTGTATTTTAATTACTTTGATATCAAAGATCACCTCATTTTTTTATTTTTAGCCAAAGGTTTATTTAATCATTATTGCTTTCCCAATGATTTTCATGATGAAATAATTATAAGTTGGTCTATTCATTATTAATAAAATTATTATTATATTTAAATTTTCATTAGAATTATTTTTATAATAATTTTTATCAAGAATATTCTTTATTATTATTATTATTTTTTATTATTCTTGTCTCTTTTATATGTATGCATATATTTTTAGATTTGTATTAGAAAAATCATTTTAATAAAGCTTTAAAATTCACTTTTTTTTACTCTGTAATAGGGAAAATTGAAGAATTTTGCCCGTCTGTACTCTTGAGAAAATTGCCTGAAAGTTTATTTTAATACTAAAATACCATTGCTTTTGACCATGGGCTACTTATTTGAAGTTCCCTTTGAATCACAAGTTCACATAACATCTAATAAGCTTCAATTAAAAATTGATTAAAGTTGGAACCACATTAAAAAAAAATCCAAATTTGTTTGAACTATGTTCGAACTTTATTTGAATCCTATCCTAGTTTTTTTTTAACTTTATTAAAACATGTGTTTTGATTTAAAGGTAATTTTGGACATGATTTGTAGGGGCTTGAAGTGGGTTTGAACATTGTTTGATAGAGCTTAAAAAATGGTTCAATAGGGTTTAAACTAGTTTCAATAAGGTTTGAATAAGGGTCATATTTGGTTCAAACAATATTAAATTATAGTTCGAACGAAAGTCAAATTGGGTCGAAATATGTTTACTTAGAGTTGACATAATACAGTGCTTTCTAAAAGGAGTTTGAATCGAGCATAGTACAATTTTAATACACTTGGGTGTAATCGTAATAAATCTAACACAATAGATTTTAGATAGTGGAGTGGAAATTGATAGTTATAACACATGGATCTCATAAGTATTACCTTAGTATAGAACCAACCAATGTCATTAAGTCAAGTATTGTATTAGATCTCCTAAGAGAGGAATTAGAAGATTTTTTTTTTTGATACATCGGCTCCATGGCTGGAGCCGTTATTCTCGCCTCGGCAACCATTGGGTGGGTGCAGGGGAGGAAACGGAGGAACATATCGAGAGGAATAGAGGAGGATGAGATGGAGATGCAAGAAAAGGGGAACAACAATGGCGATGGAAAGCTGGTTGTTTTTGAGGGAGGCGAGCATCTAACTCTTGAGGACGTTCTTAACGCCACCGGTCAAGTGGTGGAAAAGACGAGCTATGGAACGGTATACAAAGCTAAGCTCGCTGATGGCGGCAACATTGCTCTGCGCCTACTCAGGGAAGGAACCTGTAAGGATCTGTCTTCTTCTTCCCCTGTAATACGTCAGCTCGGCCGTGTCCGCCATGAAAATCTCGTTCCTTTAAGAGCTTTCTACCATGGGAAGAGGGGAGAGAAGCTCTTGATCTACGATTACCTCTCAAGCAGAACTCTCCACGACCTTCTCCACGGTATTAACTAATCACTCAAATTTAATCCCCAGATTACAAAAAATCTGATCTTTTTGCGATTTCTGTGTTGCAGATACCAGACCAGGAAGACCTGCATTGAACTGGGCGAGGAGGCACAAGATAATCCTTGGCGTCGCTAGGGGACTAGCATACCTCCATGGAGGTACTGAAACTCCCATCACTCACGGCGCAGTTCGATCAAAGAACATCATCGTTGATGATTTCTTCGTGTCGAGGCTAACGGAATACGGTCTCGATAAGATCATGATCCCTTCCATTGCTGATGAGATGGTTGCTTCAGCAAAAGCAGAGGGCTACAAGGCGCCGGAATTGCAGAAGATGAAGAAAAGCAATTCGAGAACTGATGTCTACGCATTTGGTATACTTCTGCTTGAAATTTTGATAGGGAAGAAGCCGGGGAAAGGAGCTCGGCCCGGGGAGTGGATCGACTTGCCGGCATTGGTGAAGGTGGCGGTGCTCGAGGAGACGACAATGGATGTGTTTGATATAGAGGTGCTTAAGGGTATAAGGAATGCATCCGATGAAGGGATCGTGCAGGCGTTGAGATTGGCGATGGGGTGTTGTGCTCCGGTCGCTTCGGCGAGGCCGGACATGAATGAGGTTGTGAGGATTTTGGAGGAGAACCGGCCGAGGAACAGGTCGGCCCTTTATAGCCCGGCCGACACCACGAGTGAGATTGGTACACCATTCTGACGAGCTTGTGAGCTTGCCATTGATCTTTGGTACAAGTTTCAGAGGTAAAAAGGTGATGATTTGAATTCAAATCCTTTTTCATCTTTTCTTATAGCTGTGGTGGAGCACTTAATTTATGGCTATTTTGATATAAAAATCATAAATTTAGTCTAAAAAAAGAATGTTTTTAGCTAATTGTTGCTTAATTTGAGATATAGGTGTAGGGTGGTTGCTAGCCTTAAGTGTAATTGAAGCCATGGTTATGCAAAAGATTAATTAAGATAATTCAATGTAACACTTGACTCTTTATGATTTATATTGTATTATAATGTTTATCAAATGAGATTTGCATTATTCTTTTTCATGTAATTATTATAAAAAATAAATATATAGTTATTTTATGTAATTATTATATGCTATGATATAAGAAATATACATTATATATCAAGTTTGTTAAACTTGGTTTATAAAGTTCTTTCATGAGATTTATAAAGTATTGAAACATTAATTTAATATAGAGCCAGGATCAATCCTTTAAATTTCATGAGATCTATAAAGTTCTTTCATGAGATTTATGTGCTTCTTTTGGGCTTATTCTATGTTTGGACTGTGCATCCAGCTGTTAAGCAATTTGGGTACTTTTAAGAAGAATCTGCAAAATTTGCCACATCGGTTTGGTGAAAAATTGAATTTGTTTGCACGATTTTCACTGTAAATAAATAAATAAGTCTTGAAATTGCTATCATTTATTTAGTACTTGGGGAGACAAAATTGTGGGGCGAAGGAATGGAAATTGTATTTAGGGAAAAGATTGATGTATTTGTAAATAGGAGAATCATGATGAGCTATTCAGAATTGTTCCCCATGCTTTCATTATTTTTTGTTTTAATTTTTGCATGTGAGGGTATTTAGAGCGTTCCGTTTGGTTCGTGAGTTTCGCTAGTTTATGCGAAATTGTGTTTGAGTTTTTACATTAAATGCAGGTCGAGTTTCAGGATAAGCACGCACAAGATGCCTCAAACGCACCCTTCATTGCGAAAGCACGCTTACTTTAAAAAAAACGTTATAAAGAAAAGAACAGCTGATCTAACTATTGTGTGAAATGGTATATTTATAATTCTCAATATTTGCAGGCCTAAATTTGAACATTTGTGTAGATGTCTTCTTAATTAGGGTTTAATTGCCACTGAAATCTCAGAGTAATTATAATCAATCTTTGATTTTTTTTAATGATAATTTGGTATATTTACTCAAAATGAATGAAATAACTGCATTGCAGTTTTTTTTTTGCAAATGGGTACCATCTCTATCATTCTTCTAAAATAAGTATTGAGGATCGAACTATTTTGAGTTTGCGTGCTCTTATTTGCGATATTTTTTTCCAACTAGGGTGGTTGACACGATTGAACATTTAATGGCTTGTCGAAACAAAGTGTTAATATAGTCTAAGATTAGTCTTAGAGTTCATAGAAACGTTAAAATAGTCTCCTATTATTTTAAAATTGAGATTTAATAATTCTTTTTTGAAATTATTTTAGTCATAATTTAAAGAATTTGATGACCATCTTGATATTTTTATAAACTCTCATACCACAATGATCCTAATTGATAATTATTTTGTATATATATATATATATATATATCATTTTGATATTTTTATAAACTATGGTGCTAAAATGATCTTAATTGATAATTATATATATATATATATATATATATATATATATATATGTATATAAAACAAATAGCAAATATATGTAATTAAAAAAAATGGCAAATAAGTTCGATAGAATGTTAGCTGTTGCAACATGACAGGTCCCAAAGGTAAAAGAAAAGTATGTAAAATACTATTTCAGATGGCAGCTTTTGGATCCAATTTGACATTTATCGCTGGCTGGACTGAGCAGCAGAAGAACATGTTAAAAGCTTTTCCTTTCCTTTAACAGCAATTGCCTTGAAGGAGAATGGGCAGACATTGCTTCTTCTCTATTTTTGATTTGATTGATGAAATTTTAACTAGTCATGTCTTTTTTTTTTTTTTTTTTTTTTTTTGGGGGAAAAAAAAATTAAATGGAAGATTTACATACATGCCACTCAATTCCTTTTTATTTACATATCTAACCTCTAATTTTCAATTTTTTATTTGCATCATGAAAATATGTATTTTAACTTTTGAAAAAGCTAAAATGATGATATTTTTGAAGTGATCTAAAATATTTGGGGGGTATATATGTAAAAAATTAAAATTTTGGTGTTAGGGTATAAATACATAGGAATGGGGTGGTATGCATGTAAATGCCCCAAATTAAAATTAATTTAATTTAATTTAATTTTGTTTCAATAGATATATGTATTGAGCTTTAAATTTCACATGCTAATCATTTAGTTAGGCAGGAAAAGATGCATTTCATTTTTTTAAGGCATGAAAGAGTTGACGGGATATGAAAATTTTGGATGATATAAATGTAAAAAAGAAAGTTTTAGAGGTTAAATATGAAAAGTTATAATGATTGTCTTAATAAAAATTTACTATTAAGGTCTAATTAAATTTCATGTATATTAATTATAGTTAAGTTCATTAATAAATCATTTTTATTATATTAAATAGACATTTTCTAATGTTTAAAAAAAAAACATATTGAGGTTATAACGCAATTATTTATTTATATATATATAAATATATTTTTTTTTTTTTGCGAGGGACCAACATCAAATTTTATAACCTTGATTTTGATTTTCAAAGGGGTTTCTTCCCTTTAGTGGTTCTCTCGGCCCCACGCGACGTCTTGTTTTAATGTTTGTCCTTTTCATATTATTGCTAGTTAAAATCTAAGAAAATATAAGTTCTGATCAGTCATGGTGGATCATAAAGAGAAAATATTGCATCATGACTCTGCATGTACGATTACATGTGGAGTCTAATGAAATCACGCCACGTGACGATGAAAGGAAAAAAATTAAAATATGTTTGATAACACAAGAGAATATTTCTCATGTATTATTTAGGTGTTATTGAATGTTATTCAAGTGTTATTATGTGTTATTGATGTGTTATTGTGTTATTATAATACCGAAATTTTTTTACGAACACAATAACACCTGAATAACACGGGGGAATATTATCCTCTGTTACCGAGCCGATTTTTTTCTGTACCTCAATGTGTCGTTATTTCATTGGACTCTGTGTGTAACTCTACGTGCGAAGTCTTGATGTAATAATTTTTCGTGTCATAAATCAAGATTTATGATAGAGTGATAATTTGAAGTTTTAGCATTCCATAAATATTCAACACATAAATACACCATTATTTTTTTATTAGAGAAAATTTAAAAAAGAGAAAAAATCATGAGCTATAATACATTAAAAAGTAAAAAGTGGTCAAATATAAAATTTCAAGTATAATTAAATAATAATAATAATAGCAATGATCATAAAAACAACTTAAAAAAATAAACAACAGCGGGCCCCACAAGAAGAACCCCAGTTTGACCAGCTGCCTCCTAAATTTGACGAACATCTATTGAGGAAAAAAGTTGAAATTTTCAACTGCTTAATTTTGCAAACATCTTGAATGTCAATTTTAACATTTTAATGCATCCATTTTCAAATTCCCACAATTGAATTCTTATTACATGAAATTTACATTCATACCACATTCTTTGTGTATTTACAAATTTAACATTTACATTTACAATAATTTAATGATAAGACTGCATTCCTGAAAGAATATATTTCACTTTTTAAAAAAAAAAATGTCTTAAAACCATGCATGAAAATGTACTTCACCCTTCAGAAAATGTTAATACTGCTATCTGAGATATGTACATACAGAAGAATTATGTTATATAAGTGTAATTTTTTTTATATATAATGTTAAAGATTTATGGGTTATATATGTAAATATGTGAGTTTTAAGTATTACAAATGCAAATATATAAGAATTGTGTTGTACATTTATAAAACGCCCCTTTCTAAGATTGTTAGTTTTTACGTTCGTTTAAGATGGTAAGTTATACGTTCATTTTCTTTTTTCATTGAGCGTTTACATAAATGCTACCATTCTTATATTTTTACCCAACACCTTAACATTTATATTTACATACCACTCAAATATTTAAATATCATATCAAAAATACGACCATAATCATCTTTAAATCACAGTGAAATACATCTTCTGCATACATGGGTTTATAACACCAAGGGGTTACTAGGTGTATATGTATCAAAAATTGGGTGTAATATGTGTAAATACATAAGAATTGTGTGGTTTTGTACATAAGTTTGTAATGCCGATTAGGGCTCTTAGAACTTATTTGAGAAGTGGATGGAGAGGGGAAGTAGTGTCGAATAACAAGTGAAGGCTAATATGTTGGGTTTATGATGCTTAGAAAGTATTAATGGTCTGAAGTTATAGTCGAAAAATGGATTCGATGTCTTTAACCACCGTCCGGGCTGCAAACAAAGAAGAAACTCTTAAGTCGGTGATGTTTTGGAGTGAGGAGGTTCCAACACCTGTTGCCAAGCAATATAGAATATGATACAACGCCCCATATATCAAAATTTAGAGAAATATCTCTCAAATTCATAGAATCAACAAAATTTAAATCCAAACGACCGCCACCCAACATATAAAAGTCTCATAATTGAAAAAATAAAAACCTATTTAGAAAATAGAAAATAAGAAAGAAACAAAGATGAAAGAAATAAAAGAAGAAATCTTGTTGAAAATAAAAGGCTGAGAAATAGGAATTCTCGTAATCGAGTTTCCTGTAAGTCCTGGAATCATAAGACTTTTGTAATCTAAATCAAGGGACATTTGCAATCTAAAACGCAGGTGTTGTATCCAACAATTATGCGGGACGCTCTCGCGTCATTCTCCTTGGTTATGGGAGACCTCTTCTTGTCTTTCTAGGCTTCTGAAATCGATCTACCACCACCATAATGAAGTTATCATGGTGTTATGCTAGAGGCAATCCCATTACAAAATCACTGCTCGCGTCCATTCCTGCAACTCTAAAACATGTCATTCCAAAGCATGTCTGAATAGAATAAATACACATCTTTCATTGGCATGGCTAGAGTTGGAACTACGCATAGACGGGCATTCTAACTAACAATTTCTCGAGCCATTAAATATGTAATTCGTTCTCCCACTCCTCGTAAACAACTGGGCATATCCGATAAACAAGTACGCCTGGATGAACAGACTCTATAATGAAATCTATGAAGGGATGAACCACTTTCAGTGGCAACCACCAAAGATATAAACTAACAATCATGATATACTCCTCGGACTCACTGTCTTCTCGAATAACCAATGTTAATTCAGTCAGAGTTCCTCTCATGGGCTCAGCTTGAATCACTAACATCTTTCTTCGTCAGTTGAAAGTTGAGGCTCCTTTCTGGCATCTTCATCATCTAGTGTCACATTACAATTTTTCGACTACTCACTATTGCGTGAAAGAAATCATTCACTTGCTTAGGCAATTTGATGCACTGTGCCCATAACCATGACGCTCAACGAACTTCCTAGTTGTGATGGATTTAGGAGTATCAATTGGTTGAACCTATTCCCCACTTGAGCTAATCCTTTTTCGAGCGAAGTTGACTGGAATGCTTCACTAAGTGTACTCTATATGCCTAATTTTGCGGTTGAACTTTGCTTGTAAGGTGTGGCTATCATCAAATGATATTGTTATTTCTCCACATTCAAAGTTAAGGTTTGTACATCAAATAAAGACCAATAAGACTGCAGCTGCATCGAATTCCTAATAGACATCCTCAATCCTCCAATGTACACCTTGCTATTGTGAGCTCATTTGCCTTCTCCAATCCAAATTTCAATACGAGGTGATCAAATTCAATTGTGTACTACTCCACATAAGAGTCTCTCTGGTACAGGTGGTGGAGTTTAATGAACATATCATTTCGATAACGCGAGGGAATATATTTGCGAGGCATCTCCCTTTTCATCTCAAGACAATGTGGTGATCTTACTCATTCCTTCCCGTTGTTAAAGATGTTTCAGGTTCTCCTACCACGAAGATGCACTCTTATTTAACTTAATGATGGTTAGCTTTACCTTTTTTTTCTGAGAGAATATCCTTGTACTCAAAAATTCGGCCCACTGTTCGGAGTCACTACATAAATTCGTCAAAATTCATGCAACCGTCAAAATCTTATAAGTTGTTGATATTCACTCAAATATCCTAGCTTCGTTGACACATTCGATATCAAATCGACGCAGCATCGAATGTTCTTCACTAGAAAGTTTTTTATAGAAGAGATTTACTTCCTCTCCTCGATTTGACAAGTCACCATTATGACTATGGATAACCTAATTAGATTGTCTCATCTCAAAGTTAGCAAGCCACTCTTAAAGTTGAAGGATTTCCTGCAACATGTCCTCAATGAAAGTTGGATTTTCAAAATTTAGGATTGGAACTAAGAATTATGAAAGGATTGATTTGGGAAAAAGTATTTGGTTGTGTTCTTAGATTTTTTTTTTATTTAGAATCTTGATTTGGGGCAAGGAAGACAACTATAAAAATCATTGGGTTGTCGGGCTCCAATATCAATTTATATCGTTTTAGGGCTCCTAGATGGTATTTGAAAAACTAATTTAGAGGAGAGATAGTTGTTGAATAGCAAAGGAATGCCAATATATGGGGGTTACCGTGTTCGGAAAGAATTATAGAGAAAAGTTAAACAAGAGGTTCAACGTCATCGACAGCTGTCCCGGCTGCGAACAACAGAGAAAACTTTGATCAGTGATGTTCGAGCGGCAAACAGGCTCCACCAATCGTGCCTAAGCAAGATACAAATACACCACTTGCAAAAGGAAGATGATACAATACTCCCAAGAGCAAAATTCAAAATACTCTCAAATTCATAAAATCAACAAAATTGAAACCCAAATAGCAATCATCCAAAACAAAAAAATCTCAATAATAGAAAATAACCTAAGTAGAAAATAAAAAATATATATGAAAGAACCAAAAAGTAAAAAAAATAAAAGAAGAAAACTTGCCGAAAATAAATAAAAGGCTTAACGAAAGATATTCTCACAATCAAGTTTCCCGCAGAGTCGCGGAGCTTCCACAATCTGAATCGTGGCTGCCTTATCCTACAGTTATGCGGGATGCTCCCACATTAGTTTCCCTCTTTCTAAAAGATCACTTGGCTTGATACATAAACATTGCAATTAAGATTAAGCAAACCACCTACTTAATCAACATAATTATAAATTTGATTTACTTAAAACTTTTATTAAAAGCAGTTCATCACTAATTACCGAATTAATTCATGAATACCAATCAAATAACTCTCCAGCTTTATAACAAATGAAGTGTAATTGCAAGATAAATTATAAAAATCGCATCGACATCAATCACCACATTTCAAATTGTTAGGAGCAGTTCCAACTTCATTCAAGGCAGAGTCTGTAACAAACTGTTTATAGTTTTCTCATCTTTTTATTATAGCAAAAATAGTCCAATTACCTGTATGATTCTGGGCGTTTAGGTTTGGACTGGACGACTGCCTCAATCTTCTCAAGAACATCAGGCGTCAGCTTCGGGAGGACATCCAGAGCTTTCATGTTCTCTTTAATCTGATTTTGGAGACAATGAAAACACGAGTGATTAGAGTGGAGATATAAATGAAATGATGATTGAAAAAAGGGAGATTAGCATGTATACCACTCAATTCTTATGTATTTACATATCTAACACCTAAACTTAATTTTATATACATGCATGCTACCTTATACTATGCATGAAGAAGTGTATAACACTTTTCAAAAGTTCAAATAGTGCTAATTTTGAAGTGATGTGAAATGTAAAAAACTAAAGTTTAGGTGTTAGGTGTGTGAATAAATTATGTATGTTAATGTCCCCCTGAAAAAAAAATGGGGGATTTACATACAAACCACCCAATTCTTAGTATATATCATATCTAACACTCAAAAAAGTTAATATTACATACTATCTGTTGTGTTAACTTTGAAATTTAAAACGATCGACGACGAAGTAAAAAAAAAATGACACGAGAAAAATCACACCAGAAAAGAACACACAGATTTACGTGGTTCGGCAAATTGCCTACATCCACGGAGTTGCAGAGGATTTTACTAATTGAGGAATTTACACCGTTTGAACACAATAATAATTGTAGGAGAAAGTCTCACTTTCTCACTCTCTTCTTTTCTCTACACCGAGATACACCGAAGAGCACACCTTGCGATTCTACTGATTCGTATCCTTCAGCCCGTAAGTCTTCTTCCCCGTGCTTTGCGATACTTCCTTCACCAGCAAACCAACGCAGAACAGAGGAAGAATGAGGGAGAGCCGAATCTTGCTTTTCTTTACACTTGAAGTTCTATCCAAGAAGCCAAGAAAAAAAAAAC